ACAGAATTAAGTTAGAAGGGACCTAAAAAAAGTGTGTTTAGAGAGAAACAAAGATTTTGAAGGAAGCAAATCCTATAATTCTGGATCTCATGGTGTTAGTTCATCTTTGTTTTATTATGATAAATATTATCTAATTTTTTAAAAGTGTGTACAATTCAGAATTTGGTTGTTTTGATTATACCGTTCATGCAATATTTTCACTAATACTTGACATAACTTCTTTGAAATTTAAACCTATATTCGTTACTTATATAACAACATCGTACACTTGTAATAGGGCATATTTTTGTGACAATTTTAAGTAAACTCCTTGTAAATTACAAGTTTTACTATTACTAAATAAAAGTAAAAAAAAAAAAAAAAAACAAGAAAAAAATTTGTTAAAACAGCTTAGCAAGCAATATATAGTGATTAAACTTTAAAATTTTTTTTTTTCGAATTTATATTGCTTTTAAAACTACTTCGAAATAGCGCTTCAGTTTATAGAATTACCTTTAAAAAAATATGGATATAATGGCCGGGTATTTTGTTTTTTGAAGCAAAAATTAGAAAAGTGGCTTTTGGATTTAAGACATTTTTAAAAGTCTCTTAACTTTTATTTAATTACTCATAAAATGGTTAATACCTGTCCTGTAAAACTAGTAATTAAAAGCGAGTTCGTCGAGCACTAAATAATTAGGCTAAATGCAGTAAAAAAAGGTAAAAAGTTTGAAAATGATGTTAACGAGTATATATTAAATTTAAGGATAAATATATTAAATATATAATTTTTTTTTGAATTAAAAGCTAATCAATGAGTTTTAGAAATTAGAGAAACGACTGCAGTTGATAAACTTATGTTAAATTACTTTTAAAATCATCTTTTGTTTTTATTGACTTCATGGTTTTGAAGTATTGGCTGTGCATTGGGAAATCTGTATTGAAATATTTTTCAGTATATATAAAAGATTATGCATTAAAAAAAAGATTTATTTAGGCCATGACTCTTTATGACGCCTGTGGCCAAGTTTTCACTAGCGCCTCATCATATCCAATTATTTCAAAAGAGTTCGATTATCAATCCAAATGCTGAAAGGATTTAATTTTTTACTGAATTTACTTCCCCAAAGCTGAGGAGACCATTTTACTAGAAGGCTTCCTTTTTTAAAGAAAAACTTAAAAAATAATAATAATAATAAAAAAAGTGCTCATAACCTTAACCTTGAAATTAACTATAAGCTAGTTCATAAGCTTAAGCTTGAGGATTTTTCTGAAGTATAACCTTTTATACTCTTTTGTACACTTCAGACATGTCGGCTCTGTTGTCGTATTTTTGACCTCAGCAGTTTTTTAAATTAAAGTCATTTTGAACTAAGATGTCCATAATTACCTCGGAAATGTCCGCACCTTTTTTTTCCAAGACTTTTAACCTTGACAAAACCTCTATCTTTTATCAACACCATAGTAGATAAACAGGAAAACAAAGGCGATTTATTTTTAAGACTCCAACCCAAAAATGTGCATTTATTTTCTAACCTTCATGTTGGCAGCGTCAAGTCTAAACGAAAGATCTTGTTATTTTTTCTGCCTTGAGAGATAAAATATTTTTCCTTATAACTCAACATTTGTAGTTTTGTTGGTAGTCAAGAAACTATGACTAATCAATAATTTTTTAGAGCTCAATATAGATTCATAAGTTTATTACATTGTATAATTTGAACTATTATAATTTAACTTTTATAAATTATTGTATTATACTTTTACTTACTGAGTTTGATTAATTTAAAATTTACGTATTGAACTTAAATGTAAGAAACAATATTTTTTGTTAAATCTAAAAATAGATCATTAAATCTCAAGTAGGGAACTTTAACCACATTGAGTTTTGTTGAATAAATGGTTAAATAAGGTTTTTTTTATAAAAATAACATGCCTAATGAATATTTTTCATGCAACTGTGGTATTGTTGACAAATGAACAATTGACATCTTGTTAATATTGGGATAATTGTAATATATATTAATAAGTTACTAAAATTCTAATATATAGAGCATAACGATCAAAATCATTAATGTCTTATCAATCTATTTTGATAAAGTAGAACAAATAAATATTTGGTTATCGTCTGCCCTGCGCCCGAGTAAAAAGTACCCAATGCACTGTGCATTGCACCCCTCCTTGCGGCGAGTATGGCTTTATTAACTAAATTCAATGAAACAAGTTGTAAACAAAACTAATTGATCAAGTTTTTAACAATAGATTTTTTTTTCAATATGCTTTAGGACAGGCAAATGGAGAAGAACATTTGAAGTTTATAAATTACTTCTTAAGCGAGAATAAAGTTGGTAAAGGTGTAGCGCTTTCTGATGGATAAAACATATTTTAGATATGACCTATTTTGAATTAGCCTTTACTATTTACTTCAAATTTCATGCAATTGCAAAATTTCATTTAAATGATAGAAGTAAATAGTCAAGAAAAATTAAAGTAAAAAATATTAGAATGATAGATGAAATAAGAGCTGTACAATTTTTATTATTATTATTCTCTATTAAACACCCAGTAATAAAATCATTTTATATTAAAACAGTTACAAATTAACTTCTCGGCTCTCCAAATATTTGTCTTTAATGCCAATAACTAGACCGAATTGACGGTTAGATCTATTTTAAAAATATTCTCCTCCATCATTGTTTTAAATTTTTCTCGTTGTTCTTTTAAGTTCCATAATTGGAACGCTTCTTTTAATATTGATATAGTATCAGCTTGCAGTTCTTCTTGAGGTAGTGTGAATTTAATTTTTTTACCTTCTATCATGCATTGAAAGATGTTCAAGCCACGAGTTTTACATATAGCAATCACTTCGTTTATAAATGATTTTTTATTTTGTGTTGCCAGTAATTGACTAATTATCAGCGAACAGCAAGTTTGATTTTTTATTAGCCTAATTAATAGGTTTACTTTATTTCGAAGAAGAGTAGTTGAAATATCTTCTATTTTAAAAAAAGAATGTAGGTAATTTTTGCTATACTTTGAAATACAAAAAAATGATTTTAAAACTGCTTTTCCAACAGCGTCTATGTTTCTTAGAAAACTAATGTCATAGTTGCATAGCTCAAGGCCATATATAAGCTTTGGCACTGTCAAGGTATTGTATAAATGGACTATTGTTGACGGCTGACAAAAACGATTTCCACTGTCAATTAGAGCTATTGCAACCAATTGAAACTGCATTATACGTTCATTTAGATTTGTTTTTTGAAGTGTTGCAATTTTGTCTTTGTTGGTATCGTTATCCCATTGGAAACCCAGATGTTTTAATTTATTTAGGAGATGTATATTAGTTCCGTTAATTTGAATAATGTTGTTGGAAATTGAACTTTTACCAGAGATCAGAAATTCCGTTTTCTCAGTGTTTAGCTTAATAAAGTTTAATATTCCATATGTTTGAAATCTGTCAATCAGTTCTTGCAGACCAGAGATTGTTGGACTTTACATCATCTGCGTATGAGTGACACCAGTATAGATGCCATTTATCGTCGACCCTACTTTACATTCTGAGACTATTTCATTTAAGATGTTTTCGGTATAGATGCTATATAAATATGGCGATAAAGTAGACCCTTGTGACAAACTGAATTGATCTGAGGTAACTCCCTGATAAGATATATTTGCAGTACCAGAACGATATAGCGATGTGATTGCGTGTACAACAGATAAAGTTTTTTTGGAAATAAAGCTTCTCAAATAGCAAATCCCAGTTGCAAGTATCAAACGCTTTATTTGCATCTAAACTACAATTTGTAAATGTTTTGTTGATTAGACCCAGCAAACATTGCGTGAATTATTAGCGGTGCTATATTGGCATTTTGAGCGGACCGTTGTAGTTTTGCTCGTCGGTTACTTAGTGGACCGAAAGTAAAAGTGGCTGCCGATGATTAGCCACTAGTAAAATTTTTGAAAGTTATCGGCTTGCCATTTATAGCGGCAGCCACTATTGGTCTGCGTAGTAACTGATGAACAAAACTTAAATAAACCGCTAAAAAAATCCGATATAGGTCCACTGCAAATCCACTAAAACAATGTTTGCCGGGGAACATCGCATATCTTCATGATAATTTTTATGTAATTTCTAATTATCGACTGTTTTTTTTAACTTTAATTCATAAGTACAAAAATTACTACCACATTCATAATTATCCTAATCTGAACACATTTTAGTTGTAAAAACATTATATTAAAAATTATTCAGTATGTGGGAGAAAGATGTAAAAAAGAAAGTTTCAAAAACCTTTACTTAAATTCATACAAAACAGCAAAATATTTTACCAAATATAAAAAAACGCAATTAATTTATTCGGAGAGCCTTTAGGTTACTATATATATTTCTGAATAGGGGCATTTATAAAGCATGTGCGCAGTAAAACAACTAATTTAGTGCCCTCCTTCCCCCTTTGCACAAACCTATGTACGAAGAGATATAAGGAAATATAAAAAACAGTTGTGACAGAAGTCACAACTGTTTTTACACTCGTAAAATTCAATGCTTTTGATGAAAAAAAGAAAACAAGTTTTAGGAGAAATTGAGAGAGATAATCAACCCGCCTACTTCAACACCCTTTCACCTTCCTTGAACTCATTCGTATGTTTTTATGTAAACCCCTTTCTCTCAAATCTGCGTACGTACTTTATGGATGACATGGCTATAAAGTTAAAAGATCAGTGGCATTTGCAAAGGTTTTTTATTAGCTGGTTTTATAATTTATTTTTTAAAATCTGGTTAAATGAGATGCAGTTGTTTTGAAAAACTTCCTCGTGAAGGAATTAACTAGCACGCGTACAAAGTTAATACTTTTAAAGAAGTATTTAATTGATGAATATAGTACAATTTTTTATTTTTTAGGCGATGCTTTAAAACTTTTTCCTGAAACAAAACCACCAGGTAATGGAAAGTTTCTAATTTGTCAGACACTAATATGTCATCTTTTTTTGTGACCAATCACAATATTTAATAACATGTATTGAAAATTAACTCTTTATAATTTTTAATAAAGACTTGTACTTGAGAAATGGCACCGTTAAAACAGTTTATAAAAATATCATTAAATAAAAATAACTACTGATCTTGTCTACTCATCGGAAGCTTATGTCTGATGGATTTTTTCGGAAGTTCAGGTATAAGTCGACCTCGTAACTCCTTTTTCTTTGGATCAAACTCTTTGAAGAGGTTACTTTTGTCAAGTAACATATTTTGATGATAAAGTTCATAGCGAGGGTCAGTGACTATACGATTATCTTCGCATAATTTTTCTTCAAGAATACGGACTGCTTGCAAAGATAATACCAATTTGGAACGAATCAGCATACCGTAGACATGTAAAACTGTACAAAAAAATCGTTTGTTAAAGAATAACAAAAAATTTGCGCTTTAAAACGAAAAAGTTAAATTAAGATGTACTCACGCAATGCTGGTTTGAAATCGATTTTTTCAAAACCAGACACTAAAGAATCCAAATAATCGTTTTCAAATCTAAAAGTAGCAGACAAATGATTTAAAAACAAAACAAAATTAAAACAATAACAAAAATTTATTAAAGAATAATTATTAACTACAAACTTATGTATAAATCGTCAGCTCGGAATACAAGTGACGTATCGATAGTTTATTAAAATTATATATATAAATGAAATTTTCTAATTTATGTAAATTTAACATTACGTTAATGAAAAAAATTCTTTTTATGTAACGTAATTTTGCAACGTTATATAAAAATATTTTTTTGTTTACATAATGTTAAATTTACATAAATTAGAAAATTTCATTTTAATATATAATTTTAATAAATTATTGATACGTCGCTTGTATTCCGAGCTGACAAAATAAAAACTGATAACTATTATGAATTCACGTAAGTATTATGAATATAACAACTATTATGAATATACGTAAATATTTCACAGGTAAAATCAAATTTATTCAATTATAAAAATTAATTCTTCAGACTTTGCTGTGCGTCGTTCAGATGAGAAAATTATTTAAATATATTTTCTTATTTACCAAAAAAGTTTAGAACAGTAACAATAAAAATCGCAAAATTTAAGTTTCGTTAAAAAATAAGACATTTTTTGTTTTAGTTATGTCATAATAAGACAAAAAAAAAAGATACTTCAAAGTACATTTTTAATATAGATTGTTCGTCAATATTGGACAATGTACTTTTTTTATATCACATATTATTACGATTGCCAGAAAATTTGTAAAAAATGTTTTTTGGTTTTTAAATTATCAATAATGATGTAGAAATAAATATAGAGATCTTCATAAATATACAGTGAGAAAAAAATGTATTAGTTTTCAAACCCATCCACAAAAAGTGAGCTTTGCAAAGATAAACTTGTCACGGCATCTGAAAAATTCTAAAAAAAAAAATAAAAAGATAAATACTTTTTTTTTGCATCGTAGTCAAAATTTATATTTTTATTCCTAACGTAATTACAAAAAGGACACTTGAAATGAAAAACTGCGTTTAAAACGTTTACCGTTTCTGTAAGATTATTATAATCCTCCACCACTGTCAAGTCACCCTAAAAATGTGCAATAATAATAAAAAAATAAAACAACAACAATAAATAGCAATGTGAACAAAATCACAAAACTCAATATTCATGGTTTAATAGAAGTTAATATAGCCGCAACGTATAAAAACAGAGCCGTGGCTAGGATACCCCAGACACCCTAAAAATGAGGGTGGTTGGGCAGCGAATTTTAGAAGCCTAATTTTTGCATTTTATTTTTAAGTAATGCCTAGTGGAAAATTTTTTTAAATTTCGGGGCTCTAATGAAAGGTTTTTGTTGATTTTTTTAGGGAGGGGGGAGGGAAGGAGGGGACAAACCGTCTAGCCACGGCATTGAATACAAAGCAGTTAAATTAAAAAGATTTACGTATAATACAGCACATCCATTATAAATAATACACACAGTGCAGTACAAGTGTCAAAAAAAAAAAAAAATGATTTTTCCAAAATAAAATAAAAATACATGAAAAAATAATAAACTTAATAATCAACATTTAATAGTCATACGTACGGTATTAATCTTACGTACGGTAATAATCTTACGTGCGGAATAATAATCTTACGTACGGTATTTATCTCACGTACAGAATAATAATCATACGTACGGTACAACTATCAAAAAGAATAATTTAAAGATTTAATTAAGTGATTACTTGCGCGAACTTGCAAGAAAGAGCTGTACGTAAACCCATTCTTCTAACTTTAAAGGGTAGTTCATAGGAATAATCTTTTGGTTTAGGACCACCTGACACACCGCCTGTAAAATTAAATTTTAATACATCACGTTTAATACATCATCCTTCAAAAAAGAATAAAATATTTAAAGGCGAAAATATAATCAATAAAAACATAAGAACTCGTGTGTGACCATTTGGCAAATTTTATATGCCATATAAAATTCGCCAAATGGTCATATATATAAGTTTTTAAATAGGAACCTTTTGGCTTAGGACCACCTGACACATTAAACTGTAAAATTTTAATACATCACGTTAAATTCATCAATGAATTTGTTTTACGATTAAAAAAATTAATATTTTTTTTAATAATAAAAAAAAGCGCTAACAAATAAAAAATATACTAATAAATTCAAAAAAAATTCAATACTGCAAACGTCGAATAGTAATTTAATTATAACGCGAATTTATTACAGATAAAAAACAATTTAACAATAAAAAAAAATTATTTTTTAGAGCGCAAAAACAAATAAAATAAAAAAACAATGAAGCAAATAAAAGCTGAAAAGTTTAAAACACATGATGTCGAGAAATGGCAAAATTTTTAGATAAAATATAAACTTGATTACACAATGCAAAGTTTTTATGCAATAATCTTTTGCGCAATTATTTTAAACGCAGCACAGGTCAACAATACGCTTGTCAACAACAATCAATTAAAGTGCGTTGCCCAGATTATTGAAAACCTGAACACGATTGCAATTCGAATAACGACGTTTAATAGTTCTACGTGTGAAATTCAAACTAGTAACTTAGTTTACGAAAGTAATAATATGATCTTAATAACAAAGTATATTTCTGAAAGTCTCTCTGCGTGCATTGTGCAACTATTAGTAGATAAGACTATAGAAAACGTCATTTCTTATTTTTTATCCTCAACTCATAACTTAATAAATGAATACGAATTTTATACGGTGAGTAGCTTTACAAGGTGTGTATATATATATATATATATATATATATATATATATATATATATATATATATATATATATATATATATATATATATATATAATAATAATAATAATAATAATAATAATAATAATAATAATAATAATAATAATAATAGTAATAATAATAATAATAACAATAAAAATAATAATAATAAGCTAGTACAATAATAAATAATATATATAGTAATAAAAAGTTTGAAGACTCTTTTGAGCGCCAAAAAAAAAAAAAAAACTTTACTCTAGACCTATTTAAAAAATAAAAGCTAAAAAAATCTAAAAAATTTAAAAAATAAAATCTCTTATGAAATATGAACTGCCGAGATTTGCTTGAATATCAGTTTAAGTATTAATAAATATATTTATTACTTTAGAAATTTGATAAAAGTTTTAATGATTCACAAAATGTTTGTAACAACCCAAATCACCCTTACATCAATATGTTTTTACAAATTGCATTACTTTTGGATATTAATTGGATTGGAATCTTCATACATGATGGAGAATGCAAAGAACAATTTGTAGAAATGATAAGAAAATCATTATTGCAGGAAAAAAACAATAGCGAAAATCTATTTTTTACAATAGAAGTATTTAAAGTCAGAAATAGTTTATTAATGAACACAATAAACAAATTAAAAAGTTTAAATGAACCCCAACGCTTATACATTGCTTTAACACCAGTCCATATCACAACTTCACTTTTTAATTATCTTGAAATAAGTTCTCCAAGTCAGGTTCAAAAAATATGGGTTATCCAACATAACGTTTATGAAAAAATTCCTGAAGTGACTATCACCTTTACAGGCATACAACAGAACATTTATAAACAAAATGATTGTTTAGAAGATTGTTACAAATGTTTATGGTAACCATTATTATTCATTCATAAAATAATCACTAGTATCATAATGGTTGCATTTTACTTTTTTTATAATTTTTGTTCAACTTTTAATTACAGGATTGATGATATATTATATAAAAACACTATCGAAGTACAGCTTTATCAAAATAAACAATGGCAAATGTTGTTTGAAATGCATCAAGAACATCAGAACATAACATATATACCATATATTGAAGAAAGTAATTTAAAAGAAAAACTTGGGCTCACCATACAAGAAGTTTTACGGGTAGTATCAATAATTGAGCCGCCCTTTCTATTTTTTGCAGATTACCTATATAATATAAATACAAGTTCTTGCGAAGAAAACACAGAAGTGTGTGAATTCGCTAATAATGTAAATAACCAAAAAAATTGGATAAAATCATGTTGTTTTGGATATACTGTTGATTTTCTAAATATTTTAAGGGCACGCACTAGTTTAAAATATAAATTGTATCTTGTAGAAGATCAAAAATATGGCGGATATAACAGTACAACTATGAAATTTAATGGAATGATTGGTGATATAATTGAACAAAAAGCAGACTTGGCTATTGCCGGGCTTACTATAAGTTTAATTCGATCTAACTTTGTTGATTTTACGTCCCCATTTATGGCCGTTGATCTTGGTATAATAACTGCATTAAATGAACTGGATAACAATTATTTGAATTGGAACTTCATTGCAAATTTAGGACCAGCACCACGGTACACACTTATAATACTCTTTATTGCTGGATATTTAACTGTGTACACTTTTGATAACTTTACATTGTACAGAAAGTGGAAATTAGGTCCAAAAATTAAAGAGTTCTTGCCTTTTAAATGGAATGACTGCTTTCTATACATAACAGGGTTAATGTTTCAAAAAGATTTAGGTAAAATAAATCCATCAACTTCTGGGGGCAGAACAACAGCTGTTGTGTTTGCTTTTGCTTTTGTAGCATGGACAGCTCTCTACACAGCTTCATTGACAGCAAATCAAGTTACAAAACCAGAAAATATATTCAAAGGATTTAAAGATACAAAGGTAATATTTGATTACAAATACATGCAATAAGAATCTTTAAAAAAAAGTTATAATTTAATACAATTTTTACATACATATACTAATACACTTTTAGATGACGAATCCAACAACAAACTTTAAATTTGGAACAACTGCATCAACAAGTATCGAAGATTTCTTCAAAAATGCACAAGATGAGAAACTTAATAGAATTTATCGATTTATGTCTCAGCATAAATATAATGTTAAAAATGCAAGTGATGGAATAAAAAAGGTCATCTCTGGGTAACACAATACTAATATCAGTAACTTTTGTTATTTTGAAACTTAAAATACTTTGTGAATAATAATATAAGCATACATATTGTATATATGTATATGCATGTATATAAATAAATAAATATATATATATATATACATATATATATATGTATACATATGTATATATATATATATATATATATATATATATATATATATATATATATATATATATATATGTATATATATACATACATATATATATGTGTATATATATATATATATATATATATATATATACATAAACACACACACACACACGCTTAATTATGGATTTTGTACACAGTTAAAAAGATCCCAAAACTTTAAGAAGATGTTTAACTGTCTGGATCATACAATCTTTATAAAATTTTTCATTGGAAGCCCTTTTTACATATTAAGCCTTTTGAGCCATAATTTCTATGGTAGACTGATGGCTGAAGCATAACTGGAGAAAACAGAATAAAAACATCACTAAATACAAACACAAGAATACTAGGAAAAAAAAATATTTTTGCATTATAATAAATTGTCAATTTCCAGTCATTAACTGTGAAACGACTGTACCTCTTTGCCCAATTCAGGCCCTTTTTTTCTCTGAGACTTGGTTAATTTTGGCTTTAGTGCTGGCCTTCTACTTCTGATGCCAAATCTATGCAAACTTTATTGAACAATGATTGTTACTACATTTAGTCCCACCTCATTTCACTTGCTAGTAATTGTTGAGTATGTAGCAAATCTATTTTTTTTCACTATTTTCACTAGCTTTTTCTCATACGTTGGTGTTATTTTTTTTTTTCAACCACATTCACCTTGCCTCTGAATATCTAATGGGAAGCCATTTTTCAATTTATCTTTGATTTGGTTCACGGTGCATCATGATATCTCACATTTTTTTGATATTTCACTTATCAAGTAATGCTTAACTTTCAGAAGATATTAAATAATTATCAAGTAATGCTTATTGGTGAGAAGATATTAAATAATTACTTTTTTTCAGAACTCATGCCTTTTTTTTTCCCATTTTCTTATTTACAACTTTTAGACACTTTTTTTTACTAAAAAATTATTTATAAACAGATAAAAGTTGTTTTGTATAGAAAATATTGAAAAAAAGTATACAAAATTTGTAAATATTGTTTAAAAATGGTTCAAAGTATATTATAATATAAATCTACTGTAATTAAATCACAAAACAATATGTTGAATATAAGAATCAAAACAATATGAAGGAAAAAGTTGTTACACTGTGTTAATTCTGTTCAACACTGATCTGTTATTTTTAAGCTTGGTTTTCAATATTTCTAGTTGAATTGTGCAACTATTGCTGTCGTACAACAGTTGCACAATAACTTTTATAATAAAAATTATTTCTAGTGTATGTTGCAACTTACATCAGTTGCACAACAAAAATTGTTCTGCAACTGTTTTAACAAAATTTGTTGTACAAAATGTTTTAAAACAATTGTTTTGGAAATAGAAACAAATCAATTACTTAACAACTGTTGTACAACATTTATTTACTTTTATTGGAAATCAAGCTTTAGTTAACATTCCTTTGAGATGTAGTATTGCTTTTAGTTTTTATTGTTGCTACTTGACTACCTCTGCTATCAGAATCTTTCTGGAAACAGAATTAACAGAATCTCTCTGGAAAGTATTAACAGAATTTATTAATACTTTCCAGTATTAATAGTATTCCAATACAAATTTTATAAATTAGATTTTTTTTGTGTGGATTTGGGTTCTAAGCTTGTTGCAGTAAACCTTTAAAACAGCAGACATGGGAAGTAACACTGACATAAACATTGATGCTGCTAAAAAACTCTATTACAATTTCTACATTGTGTTGCATATATGTGTCAAAGGTTAAAACTTTTGTTGAAGTTTTAACCTTTGAACTTTTAAGTTAAAGTATCTAACTAAACTTAAAACTCTAAACTTTAATAAGAATTAAATAATAATTAATAAGAATGAAATAAATAAATATTAAAAATATATATATATATTTTTCTCCAGATTTTTAACAATGTTTTATACATTTAATTATTGATTACTGCTGTTGAAATGCTATTCAAAAAGTAAATTTTTTTTATCCTTTATATATGTGTGTGTGTGTGTGTGTGTGTGTGTGTGTGTGTGTGTGTGTGTGTGTGTGTGTGTGTGTGTGTGTGTGTGTGTGTGTGTGTGTGTGTGTGTGTGTGTGTATATATATATATATATATATATATATATATATATATATATATATATAGGCCTCAGAAGGAAGCGAGATTACAGGAGCAATTTACAGCTCTCGCGAAAATATAACTTTTTCTCGCAAAAGTTTAATTATTATTGTGACTAAAATAAAAAACCCAGTTATTTTAATAATTGTCTTAAACAATTCTTAAAATGCCTGCATTTTATGACAATAAAAAAAATATAATTTTTTTTTATAAGCAGTAAAAACAATGCTCGTCTAAAGATATTTAGAGAAGCAGCTCGTATAGCTCGCCATGTTCGTTTTAGGAGAGCTTTTCACCGCTCTTGCACTCATTTCTTAATAATCCGATGCAAAAACCACTTCCATCAAAGGAAGTGGTTTTTGCATCAGATTATTACTGGTGATGAAAAATAGATTCACTATGATAACTCTAAGCACAAGAAATCGTATGTGAAGCCTGGCTAACCATCAACATCAATGTTACAAGACCGGTTAAAAATTATTTGGAAAACACCAGCTGGGAAATTCTACCTCGCCTGTCTTATAGCCCAGACATAGCCCTTTCTGACAACCACTTACTCCGATCGATGTAGAATGCCCTCACCAGAATACGCTTCACTTCATTTGATGGTATCAAAATTTGGCTTGATTCGTTCTTGGTCACCAAGCTGGAGAAGTTCTTTTGGGATTGAATCCACAACCTGCCAGCCTGATGGACAATACTTTAAACATTGAATGTATAACCTTTTTTTTGCAATAAAACCTCAATTTTTGAAAAAAAAACAGCACGAATTAAGTTACACTCCCAATATATATATATATATATATATATATATATATATATATATATATATATATATATATATATATATATATATATATATATATATATATATATATATATATATATATATATATATATATAGAGTAAATATGTAAGTATATAAGGTGCCATGATTAAAAAAAAAACCTATATATATTTATATATTTATTTTTATGTATGTTCTATATTTTACATAAATTATTTTTATCTTTTTCCTTTATTTAGTGAACTTAATGCTTACATAAATGAATACCCATTTTTATTGGCAATGATGACAAATTTCTCTCAATGTACTTTGAAAATTACTCCAGCATCTGAAGGACAAACATTTTATGGAATTGCTGTTAGAAAAAACTCAACATTAAAAGACTTGTTATCAAAAGCTATTATACAATCTCAAGACGACAATCAACTAAATGAACTCCAATCAATATGGATGAAAACATGTGACAACTCACCGCCAAACCACAACGAATTTTCTCTTATATTATTCGCTACACCACTCTTGCTACTGTTAGGCACCATTTTTATTACAGTTATTTTGCTGCTTTTTGAAATACAAATTGTGAAATACATGCAAAAAAAACGAAAAATAGTGCATATTAGTGGAGACCTAGATAGAAAACCACCTACATGGCAAAATCTAAAATTCGTATTTGACGAGACCAACATATGAAACGATAGATATGACAAAATCTAAATATTTAAATATTTAAAGATATTAAATTATAAAACCATAAACCTGACAGAGTTTGAAATAATGTTAGTACATAATAATGTTAATACATAAAAATAGATTGAGTTGATAATAACTTATTACATAAGAAGAAAAACTATTCGGCTTCAATAATTTAGTAATAAATTATAAAAAGTATAAATAGTGTAAATAAGACCTGTAATATACAAAAATAATAATAAACAAAAAAAAAATTGATTTAATAATTAAGCAACATATAACCTTTTCTCCAATGTGGAGCTCTTATACTTCCTTGTCTAGCTTTACCCAGTCCCTTTTGCTGCCATGGCTTTCTACCTCCTCCACGAACCTCACCACGTGTTTTTGTGCATGCTGTACCCTTTTAATCAAATAAAATATAATACAAATTCTATGCCACATAATTCTACAAAAAATTCTATGCCACATTATAATCATTTACTAAGAAAAATATCATAACTTACTGCCCTTATACATGCTCTATACCATACAACATTTCTTTGCAATATGTCAATCCTACAACATAAGCAAAAAAAATACTTATATGAGGAAAAAAACAGTTTGTCTTTGATTACATACTTTCTTTTTCTAATAAATGTGGATTTAGCTGGAAGTAAAATGTCATTGACAACAACATACTGAAATATCCATCTACATGGCCTTCTTACATATTAGACACACAATAAGACACACGCACTTTTATAAATATAAAAGGATTTCAATTCTGGACAATCACATAATAGCTAACTGCATAAAAACAAAATTTTGCTGTAATTATGTTGGCATTGTCAAAGTCGTCAGACTTAAAAAACAGCATTATATAAGTTTCCTAAAAATACTAAAGATACTTAATAAAATTTTTAACCTATAACTTTTCTGTGTATTTATATATTCTATTATTTATACATATACATACATATATATATATATATATATATATATATATATATATATATATATATATACATATATATATATATATATATATATATATATATATATATATATATATATATATATATATATATATATATATATATATATATATATTCTACTTATTTATACATATATATATTTAAACTTTTTTATTAAGGCATTATAGTAAAGGTTTTCTTTTTTTTTGCGTAGTGACATTGCCCTTTTGAACTTATGAATTTTTTAAAATAAAAAAAAATTAACTTATCTTAAAATAAGTTTTGATGTCTTTTTTCCCCACAAATATTTTACCATACTTGCCATATATCATAACTGTTACCATAACTACCATAGCTTTAATTTGCAAAGAAACTTCATTATCTTATAACTTTCTTAATTAAGGAGAGAAAGTTCAAAGATTTTACGTTTTGATAGAAAAAAATCTTTTAGAGTTAAATTGTTATTGTGGCATTACACAAAGAAGATTATTGAACAGGGAAAATGTTTCTTAAAAAGCAGTCATGAGAGCAAAGAAAGCATAAAACAGTAAATAAAAGTATTGTTCACTGACAAATCAAACTTCCAAATTTTTAAAGCAAATTGTAGACAAAATGTTTGATGTTTAATTGGAGAACGCATAATAAAAGAATGCATGATTCCAACAATCAAACATGATGGAGGATCAGTCATGGTCTGAAGTTACTTTGCTAGAAACAAATTTAGTGATGTACAAATTGAGGGCACAATGGATAAAAAATATACTACAACATTCTCCTAAAACAGGTATTTCCATGTGGAAAAAGAATTGTAGGTCGCAAATTTTTTTTTTTTTAATTTATTTTACTTCACCTCCTTAAGGTCGAGAAGGCCACTACAGACGAGGAGGCTACTTATTTTGTGGCTATAACCCTCTCTCAACTCTATAACTCCGAAACACAAACCTTGACGAACAAGGCCGCTGCGCGGAGAAACGAGTTGAGCGCGGTACTACCAGGGACGTGGTGGGAATCGAATTCGGAACCACTCGTTTATGAAGCGAGCGCTCTATTACTACACCACTACCGCATAAAAAAAAAGTAAAATATAAGGAATAGTAGCCTCAGTTGCCTAATTTAAACCCGATTGAATTGTTGTTGAACAAGTTAGAAATGTCAGGAAAAAAATCTGTTAACAAAAAAATTAAAAAAGATAGTGAATGATTTTTTAAACCATGTAAATGTTATCCTATTTTCCTGAAAGTATGATTTAATTGTAAATAATATGAATAAATACCTATGATGAGAATATATATATATATATATATATTATATATATATATATATATATATATATATATATATATATATATATATATATAATGTATATATATATAAAAAAGTAAATAATGTATATATTATTTACTTTTTTTTATTACTAATTTAGCTTTTTTTTTGGCAATTCTTAAAAGTAATGGAAATGTTTGTCAAATGTCAAAGTAATGGAAATGTTTTTGTCATAAAGTATGTCACGCTAAATCTATAGTTTGAATAAAAGGCTTGAGATATAGAACGAATAGAATTTGCTCTTTCTTGCAGAGATTTTCATTTAACCTAAAGTACTTTTGAATTTAAATTACTTTAAATCTCTGTGTGGAAGCCAGTAATATTTTAAAAGGTTGTTAAAGCGAAAAGTTGAAAAAGGCAAAAGACTTAATTATGCTTTTTTTAGTATGCTAGATCAAGGAACAATAAATTATAAAAAATGTGGTATCTAATGTTTTTTTGATTTGATCTTACTTGATTGATCTATAGGTTGTAGACTTGTATGGTCTAAGGCATGTTTTTGTGTAAATATAAAGTTTTATGACGATAATGTTTTAATTTATTAATTAGAACAATTTTATTTATTTGCTTCGTTTTATTTTAAACGCTTTTTATGTTATTAATGTTATAAACTGTATAAAATAGCACAAAACAGTGTCACATAATTGTTTTATATTAACACAAGCTCTTTATATTTTTAAAACAACTTTGCAGTTTGTTTTTTTGTTGTTTTATAGCTTTTTACAATAACAATTAATAACTTTTTAAAAAAAACATGTGTTTTATTGTCAGTATGAACATATTAAATAGTTTTCTATGACTATTTCTGCAACCATTTTTTAAAACACATCATTTTACTTATTATGTATTTCAAGAAAAACGCAATTAAAAAAATATTATTAGGAGAAACTCTTTGTTTTTTGAAACCAATAATTTTTATGAGTTTTTTTAGAACCCCAAATTTTTTTTTCTTTTCGCGATTAAATTTTTTTGCGTTAATGAGCCCTGATATATATATCAAGGCACGGCAAATCGTTTTTTTAAATTGGTGTTGACGTTTGTATCTTAAATTATTGAAGAACATCTAATTTAAGAGATACATGTCAAATAAGGGAGTTTTATATTCAAATAAATTTTTATTCTAGTTAATAAGTTTTTGGATATATCAAAGATGCTTATTAAATTTAATCAATTGTCATATTTACAAAACAATTTTTCACGCATTTGCAAAGTACACACAAATTATTGATTATTAACTGTTATCAATGATAAAAAAAAAATTTTTTCAATTTAGTTCCTCAAATTTATTTATTCATAAAATATAAGCATAAACATAAAAAAATTAAAATAATTGGAGCTAAAGAAATATAAATTGCAAAATGGTGTCTCATTAATATTTATATATTATTTTTATATTTATATAAATGGATTTAAGAATCGCTAGAACTTTTTGATTTATGGCCTTTTTGATTATGGCCAAATGTCGAATACCAACTACTGCGTCAATCCAATTTTTGACATGTTTATGGGGCAAAAAGTCTTTAATTAACTGGCCATCAAGCTTTATACACATAATATCTTCTAAGGTGTTGTTATTTAATGAAGTTCACAAAAATTTTTTTTGTAAGTTCTTACAAGAAAAACTGTGTTGACAACTTGCCATTGAAGCGCTGAAAGTTAGCATAATCTCTAACAAGACATTTATACTTGCCAACTCAGATTCATTTTCGAACAAGATATCACTATAAATGCTCAACAATGAACTTATCCTTTGTTTAGAGACTTTCTCCCTAAATAAAGGCCACTGCAATACACATAAATTAGAAGTTTCTCTGCTTATCAAAAGTGCAAACACTTTTTCATTAAATTCTTATTTTTTTATCTCTAGCGAACCTGTAAAGAATTTTGGCCAGTTTCAACAATGAAAGATTGTAGTTAAAAATTTAATGGCTCTTGATTGAAATTGCAACAGAACCGTTTGTCTATATATTCTTTTGCTCCATCAATAACTTTAATAAAATATTTTTTATTATAATAATCAAAATAATCATTTGGTTGTTGTCTAACAATCTCACCAATTCTCTTTAAATTATGCTTTTTTAATGTTGTTAAATCAATACCTTTGTAGATTAACTGATCTTCTTTTACTTCTAAATTATCTAGTAAACATCCAATATTTGAGCCTGGAATAGCAATTCTTGCATCAACTTTAAACAAAATCTCACAAATTAAAATTTCTTCTTTTTGAAACGCCAATAACAATGTTGTTAGTGATTTAACAATAATTTGAATAAAATGTAAATAAAATAAAAATTGTGGGCCTTTCATGAAACACAAAAATCCTTTAGCTTTCTGTGCAGTTTTGTCTTTCTCGTTTGCATCTTTCTAAATCATATAACTTTATAGTCAGTTTCAAGCAATCTTAATGCCCTTTCCCGGTTGGCTAATCAACAAATATTTTTCAATCTCTCAAGCTGTTTAAACTCTTCATCTAAAAAAGAAGCTATTTCTTTCAGTTCCTTTGTTCGCTGTGATGAATAATAGTGAAAACGAAACTAACTATTGTAATGTTGTCATCAAACTTTTTTAAATAAATATCAAACTTTATTGAGTCTAACACAGAAAGTTCTAATCTATGCGCCACGCAGTGGGTATATACTATACTGGAGTTTTTATTTCGCATTTTAGTTTGAACACTAGCTTTATTGCCAGACATTACCGATATACCATCAAAGTTAACATTTACAGTTTTTGCATAGATATTGTTTAAATATAAACCTAGATTTATTTTGGCTGTTGTTAAACTTTTTAAAACAAATTCTATTGCATTTAATATATCATCGGCATCAACTGTCAGTGGTGAGTTAATACCAGCAAATATAGTTATTGGATTACCATTTTTAACAAATCTTAAAAAAACTGTTTCTTGTTCACTAATACTCTTATCAGTAGAACCATCAGATAAAATTGCAATAAAATGAGCACTTGATACGTCTAAACTTAAGTCACATTTTAAGTCAGACAAAATTGACAAAACAAAGTTTTTGCAAACTTTGTTACTTGAGTAGTTCTTGCCCAACTTAATTCCATTTAGCTTTTGTAGCTCGCACAGCATATTTTTTAAATGCAAGATCCTCTAACAACAAAATATGATATCGAAAAAAGTCTGTTCAAATTTTCTTGGTTATTCTCAGTAGTTCTTAAAATTGATGTCCATACAGTTTTCTCAAGACTTGGAGCTGTATTGTGAAGGTTCTCTCGGTATTTAGAAATACAGGCTTTATGCCCAACATCTTTATT